TACTTATTCCTATTTAATCATATCTTTATAAGAATAAACGTTTAGATTCGCTTAATGTGAAGCATACATTACATCAGACAGACATGCTGTGGCACCAAATAAATATGCTGATTTGATTCACTCCTCACGATGTAGGTTTGATAAGAAAATCCTCAATTGGATTAAAGATATTTTTTAATTTTTTTATTTAGCTGTTTAAATAGCAGTTAAACCTCTATTGTCTCATTTAACTGGAAATCCTTAATTAAATATGTATTATCAAGACCTCTGCATATATGTATCAAGGTTATGCAAAATCAAATGCTCTAATTGGGCAAATACTTTATTAGAGAACTTGAGTTTTAATATTCCAAAACGGTGCTTAGTCTTAGTCCTTATACCAAAGGTAATAGTATTGATAGTAATTGAAAAGTCTGCGAGAATGGGGGCAATCATATGAAAAGTTTCAAACAAAAGTATTTAATATTTGTCATTCTTTTGAGAATTCCTCCACAATATAAGACTAGAGCAATTTTAATGAATAATTTCCAACGTCTTTATAGTCACTTTTTGAAAGAAGAATTTCAAGTATTAAAATTGAGGAAACCTTCACTCCACCAATTTGTTGGTCTGTTTATTGCTATTCTTAATTAATTTGACTAAGAATCTAAAAAGCCATACTATAAAAATTGGATCAGAAACGCAAATTTATAATTCATAGTTTAAAATCATGTAATTACTTTTTTAAAGCCATAATGCAATATGTTCAGTAAAGACAATCGTTACAAGTCTGTGATTGCATTTCTGTTTGATGATATCCAAAAGGCAATACTATAATCATTAGCTATAATTGACATAAACAATACTAGGATAAGGTGCAACGAACATATTAGATCTGATATCTGATAGAACCTGCAACATTTATTGCACTTACAATCAGCGGAATATTAGGGAGGTTGTTGAATAATTATATATAAATTTTGCAAACTATAAGGAAGCATTTAAAAATTTTTAAAAGAAGCATCGAGTTTTTTGTTAGACAAAGTGGTATCCTAGACTACATAGTTTCAAACTCAATAAGCAAGAAAAAGTGTCAGTGTAAAATATTGAAAAATGGCTTAGCGCTCTTATTAATAATACATACAAGTGTGGCTCAAGTATCGTTCTACTTAGTAATATTTTATTCACATTCCTCCAAAATAATAACAATTTACCTTGAAACAACATGCAGGAATGATAAATTTTAGAAGTAAGACCAAACACCAACTACTTCAATTTAATTGTAATCAACATCTCATTATCCGTAGTCTCAACAAATGCATCCAACTTCAAATTTAGAGAAGAAACTCTTTGTAAACTAAGTATGCAATCGAAAAATCTTAATAAGTTTTGAAGAAAGGGGATGAGATATGTTAAGTACGTATATAAAATTAAAGTTGGGAATATTGCATAACTTCAAGTACAAGCAACGGTAGTTACATTAGTCTCATAATGCATAAGCTGAAACTGAGGTGATGCTTGACAATACCATTGATCTCATTAAGTATGATTATATTGCCTCTATTGAAGTAACAAGTTGATCAAATCATGTTCTAAAGTTGAAAATTAATATACACTTCAAGGTTAAAACGCTTCTCAATCACTATGGCAAATATATGAGCGCATAATTAGGATTTAACAATTAACACATTTAATTGGCGAAAAAAATTTTATTTTCATAAATTCCTTATGATTTGAGTTCAAGTATGTTTTCAACATTAAGCGCTAGAAGTGCTTTAAGTGGATTAATAAACTTTGCAATTCCCACGAGAGTAAGTGAGGGCATTACAAACTATAGTTCCTAGAAATGCACTTGCACCAGAAACATTGTAAAATTACATACTCTCTGAAATGCTACTAAATTATCGGGTTAAGGGCTAAACTCTTAAAGATGTTAGCAAAACGCTACATGTAAATCAATAATATTTATGTTTAGGAGCATGTCTGTTGATCATAACTTCGAGATTCGCAGTGCTAATATTTTATAAACGAAAAATAGTTCAAGGTTTTCTAAAGCAGCAGAAGTTGAGTGCATAACTTTCAAAACATTTGAAACTTGAAAGATTAAAGGTAGAATAAAGAGGTTTAAATAAGAAGCCAAAGTTTACTTATTTTTTGGAAACTTCTTGAGGTCAGAAATGCTAGCATAAAGTAAACGTCCACAAACTCTACAATAGATGGTATTTAACTAAGGATAGAAAGGAATTGATTTATTACATAACATAATTTAAGACCAGCAACTTACATGGGTGAGATTTAATAGAAAAGCGAATTAAGCAAAAAAGATAATATCTTAATCGAGTAAAGTGGAAGGAAAATTGCCACTCACTCAGACCCAGTAACATAATGTTAATAGTAGAATGCACCCAGCACAGCTAAAGGAATTAATTTTACCTTAAGAACTATAAAATGTTCCTTTCAGAAGAACCAATAGCATCAGTATTTACAGTACCAATACCAAAGACAAAGCTACTATATTCTATTTTGGTATACTTTGTTGTTTATCCTTGAAATTAAAATAATTAGTAGTGGTTGTAGAATTGCTCAAGTGTTGATTGAATGTTGATGAACGCTATGCTCTTAATTTAACCTCTAGAATTTAATGTACAAGTAGGAGCTTTTAGGCTAAATTCTTAATGGTAGTAGGAAGGCACGTAAAATACAACCAATAGTTAGGTTAGCATAGCTACTCCACTTTTTGAAGATTTAAATGATGTAGACTAAAAGAAATAGCTAGAAATACATTAAGGACATAGCTATAATAAACTAAAATGTTGAATCACACTCATAATAAAAACTGATATGCACAATAGTTTTTATTATCTCCTAAGTAATTAGAACGACTTAATAATCGTTGCTAAACATTCTACAACTGTGATGGCAGGTATGGTGTAGGACAACAGAAACCAAATAACAATTCAGTGTTGAAGTATTTAAATACTAATGAGAATTTTATATACAAAAGTGATTTATTACTAGTATAGGATATTCAAAAA